CTTTCAAACAAGAAATCTGCTCACTGCTGATTTACTCAATCTGCTCCTGCAGCGCTCACCCTCTCCCATACTTGTAAAATTCAAAGTGATGTAAATCACTTTCCAACTGCATAGCCCGCAATCTCACCTTCTTATAAATTTATCTCTTATTGGTGATGGTGCCATCATGAGAATAAAGAATTCAAAATTCAAAAGCGACTCTCGCTAAATCAAAATTCTAGAGCAATACATTATCTTAAACCCTACAGCCCCACACTTCTATCCCACGTGCAAACCTGTCTTCTCAAACAACAACACGCACCCCAATGCCGACACACCACCCTCAAACACACCTAAACCCCAATCCAACACAGCAGGCGACTCAAACCTGTGTATTCTTTCCCTCAACTGCCGATCAATCGTCAACAAGGTTGCGGAATTGACACTCCAGGCATCAACTTACTCTGTGGACATAATCTGCTTGTGCGAAACGTGGCTCAGTCCCCAACAACAATTGGCTCTGGCCGGATTCACCGTTTTCCGTAGGGATCGACTTGTCAATGCTTCAAGCAGGGGCCATGGTGGCGTTGCTGTCCTCGTTCGTAACGACCGTTTCTGCTATGTAAAGCATCGCCTAGACCTTGATCAAGATGGACGTGAGGCCACCTGGGTAGAACTGAGAATGCCCGGCTCGCCAGCAGCAGCATCCCTGTTAATCTGCTGCACCTACGGTGTCCCGACATATCACCGAACGACAATTCACTGAGCGACAGTTCACCGACTGACAGCTCACCGAACGACAGCTCACCGAATACCCAGTTCACAGAATGCCCATTTCACCGAATGCACAACTCACAGAATGACAGTTCACCGAGCGGCCAATTCGCTGAACAGACATTTCACCGAAAGAAAGAAAAAATAAAGAAGGAGGGAGAATTTTGAATTTTTAAATATATTTCAAGGATTCCCCAGAGGCCATTAAGCCTATCGAGGCGGTTTCCATTTACATGTATGTACAGAGGTGAGCAGATCAATGAGGAACAATAGACAAGCAATGAAAATGTTGCAATTCCAGCTAATCACTCCACAACGTTGAAGGTCAGGTTGTGTGCAATTCCTCTGAGGAATTCAAAGGTGGTCGTACCTCGAATGAGTGAAGTAGGGTCCTCAGCCTTCTGTCACAGTTTGCGTGTTTCTTCTTTCTTTTCGCTGCACCGTAGCCAGCCACCAGCCTCCCGCCCTCACGTTCAGTTGAGCTTTGTTCCTGGACAAATTCGTCGATAACTTTCCATATCATCGGGTGGCGGCACAAAACAACTGAGGTGAATCTCCTGTGCCATCCTCCATGAGCGTTGTTAGTCCTGTCCTCTCCACCAAGGCTACATTCGTAAACGTTCCACAAGGGGATCGGAAACATTGGCGTCCGTCGTTGTCCACTGATTTCGTCTTGAAGTTCCGATGTAATATTGCTCAAAGTAGGCAACGACTTCAAGGGCTCCCACCTCATCTGGCAGAAAGTCCTCCAAACATCGCCTGTGGGCACAAAGGCTAATGCTGGCAACATCCAAATTTGCACAACGAACTGAGGATTTTGGCCCTACCGTTCTTGAAGGCCATACGCCTGCACATGCCGATAGATTTTTTGGCAGAGGTGAAAAGAGCATCCTCTCGTCACTACATCCGGAAACTTCACCTTAAAGGCTTTGATAGCTGCCAATTCAAAGTCGGTAACGACGGTGGTTGGCTCCAAAGCCTCCTTGTGGCCAATTAGCATCTGCAGTAGCTCCTCATAGATCGCTTGCGTATTTTTGTGCTTACCATTTTGGTCACAAATTAACCGTGGAAATGTAGTCAATTTTGCACGCAAACCCGACACATGCACATGCACTCAGTGGTTATGCGACGACTGACTGTACATGTACTACATTTGCCACATTACGTGCAACCAGCGCCAGTATGTCAGTGCCAGCATTTCAGCCCGGCGAAACTGAGCGCCAGTGAAGTTAGCCTGACCAGTCATTACAATTATTTACAGAAGAATTTCGGTGAGCTGTCTTGTCGGTGATATAGCCATTCAGAGAAATGTCTTTTTGTGAAGTGTCTTTCGGTGAATTGTCCAGTCGGTGGATTGTCCATTCGATGATTTGTCTTTCGTTGAAGTGTCTTTCGTTGAAGTGTCTTTCGGTGAGTTGTCATTCGGTGAATGGTCGGTAAACCTACAGACCCCCATCTCAGACAGTCCCAACCACCACGTCATTCTGTGAATGCATTGAGGATTGCCGAAAGACAAATCATCGAATGGACAATCCACCGACTGGCCAATTCACCGAAAGACACTTCACAGAAAGACATTTCACCGAATGGCTATATCACCGACAAGACAGCTCACCGAAATTCTACTGTAACTTGTAATGACTGGTTCCTAGTCAGGCTAACTTCACCGGCGCTGAGTTTCACAGGGCTGAAATGCTGGCACTGACGTACTGCCACTACTGGCGCTGGTTGCACGTTATGTGGCAAATGTAGTACATGTACAGTCAGTCGTCGCATAACCACTGAGTGCATGTGTCGGGTTTGCGTGCAAATATTACTACATTTCCACGGTTAAGTTGTGACGAAAATGACCAAACTGGCAAGCACAAAAATTACAAAGATGGAAGAATAGCTCTGAAAAGCAGCGAGTTTTTACTGAATCAATCCCCTATTCCAATCATCACCACTGGTAAGAGTAAAACACTGTGTTAGCTGGTTGAAACATCAACAGTAAGGGTTCATTTTAGTACGTTTTGGGTGAAAAATATGAGACAATCAAAACCGTAATGATTAGCTAGATCCATCGCTTTTTGGTATAATCGTTTCAACCCTAGTAAACATTACACAAACGTGTAAACATTACATGGTCAATTAAATCCGATAAAAGCTCCGTGGTAGCGAGGTCTGACTGTATATCAACCAGCCTTCTATTGTCAAAAATTCAAAATTCTTCAACGTTGTGGAGTGATTGCAACATTTTCGCTGCTTGTCTATTGTTCTTCATTGATCTGCTCACCCCTGTAGACAAATGGAGACCTCCTCGATAGGCTTAGTGGCCTCTGAGGAATCCTTGAAATATATTTAAAATCCAAAATTCTCTCCGTCCTTCATTGTTTTTTCTTTCTTTCGGTGAAATGTCTGTTCGTCGAATTGGCTGCTCGGTGAACTGTCATTCTGTGAGTTGTGCATTCGGTGAAATGGGCATTCTGTGAACTGGGTATTCGGTGAGCTGTCGTTCGGTGAGCTGTCGCTCGGTGAACTGTCGCTCGGTGAACTGTCGTTCGGTGATATGTCGGGATACCGCCTGACCAAAGTCAACTTGTCATCTACAACGGTCGCTTTGAATGGTGACTTTAACGCACGCAACAGTGATTGGTGTGCCAGTGACACAACAAACACTGCCGACAAGGCTATAGCAAATTTATTGTCCTGCTTCGGACTCGCCCAAGTAGTCAATTTTACAACTCACACGGCCACGTCAGGCTCATCGTCGTGCCTTAAATTGCTCGCTAAAAATTATTCCGACCTGGTAATTTCAGTTTCGCCTACTCCATCCCTAGGGGCTTCTGACCACTGCCCAATACTATTCCGTTTCTGGATCCTGGGGTTCACTTCTGCCAGAGACTCGCCTGACTCCCGCTCCCTGGCCAACACTGTCAACTATGCATTCAAATGTGTCCCCGCCCACATTTGGTCAGCAATCAACAATACCTTGATGTCCACTCCATGGGACCGCAAGCTGTCATCGGTCGATGTCGATGACGCAATGGAAGGATTTAGTTCGGTGCTCAGCCGCGTTTTTGCCCCGTACCTTTCTGATTATCAATACAGCGATCCCTCCGCTGGGTACTGAGGAAAATCCAGCTGTTGATACCCTCCATGGGTTGGTAATGAACTTTGAGCAGTAAATTTGACCTGCACAGCGCGAGCATGAATACCCCTCCCCAGCAAATATTCACGCCTACAAGCGCCGAAGAAATAATGTTAAGTCCCTTACCAGATCAGCCTACAGAAATTACATCCGCTCTATCCGAGCCACACTCACTGATCCCAACGCCCGACACTCTACAGCACCTTCCCATCAGTTACAGACAGAGGGGGTATAGGGACTTCCGTAGGTTTCTGCATATGCACGAATTTGTAGAGTGTCGGGCGTTGAGAATCAGTGAGTGTGGCTTGCACACATTTTTGGACTTGCACTTGTTACAATACATACATCTCAATTTGAGCACTTCAACTCTCAATACTATTCTTGGGCGCTTTGAGATAGGTTTCACTTCTTTTGCTCCGTTGTCTGTATTGTCACCTTCCATTGGCAGTACCTTTAAAACAATAAGAGGACAGAGAAAGTGTTTAAAATCTGAGTTTCACGCACTAAGCGATCATCAGAAGACAGCAATAAGTAAATCTGGATCAGTATTGGTATTTAAACCCAAAAAGCAAAGTGTAAATGACTGCGTCACGGCGAAAATCAAAAAATTGTGAATGGCGGCAGTGCAAAACGTAAATGACCCCATCATGGGGCAAATCATAAAGTGCGAATGACAGCAGTGGTGGAAGGCGACAACCCCTTTTTTTTTCGATTTGCCCCATGATGCAGTCATTTACGCTTTGCACTGCCGCCATTAGCAACTTTTTGATTTGCGCCATGATGCAGCCATTTACACTTTGCTTTGTGGGTATATAAACCAATACTGATCCAGAGTTACTCATTGCTGTTGTCTGATGATCGCTTAGTGCGTGAAACTCAGAGTCAGAGTCTCTGCCCTCTTATTGTTTGAACCAGCTCTGCCTCTCGGTATTGAGCACTCTCTTGGCCAGCTTGGAACCTCTCTGTTTTGCAGTACATGTACCTTCCACTCAGGTCTTTGCAGGTCTTTGCAGGTCTTTGCAGGTCTTTGCAAGTGAAAATAAAACTCTGCAGGGGACTTCTAACATTCTAAGGAAATAGTTCTATTCTGCGCTATTTTACCTTTCCAATGCTTTAGGAAAGATGCGTCAAAAGGAGAATGAAGCGAAGAGACTTGCAAAGAAACAGGCAGGAAGTGGAAATGGAGGATCGGGCGAGGGCAACAGCATAGAACAATCCCCGTTTGAGGAGGGCCCTGCCAGTGAAGCATCCCAATCGGTGGAGAGCCTCGCCGGCAAAACATCCCAATTGTCCAAAAATGGGACCAAAGAATCAACAGTTCTTCAAGCGTAACTTCACAAGAGGGTAAGAGATGCACTGCTATAGTTTTCGGACCATTAATTAAGGGGATGTAATGTTGGACTCAGTATAAAGTCCATACACTATAGAATGTCCAGAACCCTATAATACAGAGTCCATTGGTCCAAAATCCACTACACAGAGTTCAGGAGTCCGCTTAATTTTGGTCAGCTCCATCCAGCCTCGCAATCCCCTATAACGAGTACACTTTTTCTACAAGTCCCCCATTCACGGTCCAGAAGTCCAGTTCATCCAGTCACGCCGTCCTGTGTGTAGTGCCCGAAAGAGAACAAACACCTTTTCAGTTTTGCTTGCCTCGTGGCAGCGCATTCCTTTCTTCACTTCAGCCATGGCTGCCAGTTCTGCTGTGCAGTTGCTGGCAGTAATCTGTCTCAAGGTGTTATGTCCCCTTGCGGACTAACATTCCATTACACTCATGCATTCTCACTGACACACACAAACACTAGCAATTCGGAAGACATTCCTCTTGGTCAGGTAAAGTAACAACAACAACCATATGCGAGCATGCGCAATACAGTAACAAACGGTGTAGTAGATATATAATGACTAACTTGCATACACAACAACTGCCCCCTTTCAAGAATGTTCCAGGGAATATTCTACCACAATTAAATACCTCAAAATCGTTGAAGCAACACATAAAATAAGTTCATCAATCCACCGTACGTGAATTCTTAAACTTTGACACAGCACTACAATAACATAATCTGACGCAGGAATCCGTCAGTCCATATTAGCAATACCAAGGATCTTGCACACTATTGTACATGGTAATAATTACTAGTTCGCTAAACAGTCCAGCAATGACATATCAGGGAACGGCTCAAAACTGTTCAATCAGTCTATCCGGACGAACACTACGCCGAGACGAACGTCTAACAGTGGTTTCACAGGGAGTATTCTCGACCTGTGGTAAACCAACTTCAGGAGCAGACTGCTCACAAGGAGGATCCGCCTCAACTTGTACAGTAGCAGACTGTGGCGAGACGCTAGCCGGAAAATCACTGGCCAGTGACGACTCTGCTACGTCTGACAGCACTGGTGACGGTGACGTCTGATCGATTGTATCCAACAGTGGTTCTGGCAGCGATGCACTCAAGCTTGCCGGAACTGACCGTAGACGCAACTGATCTCGGTGACGCTTCCACAACACATCACCCACTTGTACTTCATAGTTGTAGTCACTGAGGACACGCACAATTCGTCCCGGGACCCAACGATTACCTTTGCCGAAATTCAGCGCAAACACAGAGTCGCTCTCTGTGAACGCTGGCTTGACGCGATTTCCGTCCTCATAAGCCTTTGCTTGTTGACGTACCTGCGAGGGACGCAGAGCACTGAGCCGCGTGCGTGGCTGGCGTCCAAACATCATCTCCGCAGGTGTTCTGCCGGCATGGTTGGTTGTCGTGCGGTACGTTAGCAGAAACCTGTCGAGCCGAGCTTGCAGTGGTTCGCTCGTTGCACCCATTTCCTTCAACTTCTGCTTAAACACACCCACATAGCGCTCAGCAAGTCCATTCGTAGCCGGATGGCCTGGAGCCGTCAGGGTGTGCACAATGTCGTTGGCACGGAGGAAAGCCTTGAATTCCTCGCTCGTGAATTGGGTTCCATTATCTGAAACAAGATGCTCCGGCAGACCAAACACAGAGAACACGTGCCGCAGAGCGGCAATAGTGGTTGCAGACGTGGCATTAGACATTGCAATTACATCCAGATACTTTGTGTATGCTTCCACCACAACCAGGAACATCTTGCCCATGAATGGTCCTGCAAAGTCGATATGCACCCGTTTCCATGGACCGTTTGGCCATGACCAGGTTCCCGACTTGGCAGGTGGACATTTTGCACTTTCTTGGCATTGAGCACATGCCTTGACCAACATTTCAATCTCTTGATCCACATTTGGCCACCATAAGTACCGTCGTGCCATTTGCTTGGTTTTGACCATGCCAAAGTGCTCCGTGTGCAAATCACGTAGCAATACTATTCTTAGTGATTTGGGTATGACAACTCGTTGTCCCCACAATAGGATACCATCTTCGTCAGACAGCTCATCCCTCTTATTGTGGTAAGACCGAAACGATTGGGGTACTGAGCTAGGCCAACCATTCACCACATAGTAGAGCACCTTAGATAGCTCAGGGTCACGAGCTGTTTCCGATTTCACTACGTCTGCTTTGATTATCGTATCTTCCTCCACTAGCAAGACACGAACCGTAACCATTTCCTCTGCAGACGGACTGATATTCTCACACGGTTGCCTAGACAGGAAATCCGCGTAGACATTTTCCTTGCCTGGCAAATACTTGATCTCATAATCATAGCCAGCTAGCATTAGTGCCCATTTCTTGATGCGAGCTGATGCAAGTGTAGGAACTGGTTCGTTGTTTCCCAGTAACTTCAATAGTGGTTGGTGGTCGGTTTGAAGCGTGAAGTGGCGCCCTAGCAAGTATTTCTGGAACTTCGTAACACCGAAAACCACAGCTACGGCTTCCCGTTCGATTTGTGCATAACGCGATTCAGCCGGTGTCAATTTCCTTGACACGTAAGCAACCGGCAAAACATCACCATTCGTTTGCCTTTGCAATAGTACGGCACCTAGACCCATTGGAGAAGCGTCCACCTGGAGTGTGACTGGCTTCTTGACATCGTAGTGTGCTAATAGCGTATGCTCACACATTGCATCTTTCAAGGCCTGGAATGCATCTTCCTCTGCCTTGCTCCATTGCCATTTCATTTCTTTCCTGAGCAGGTTGTACAGTGGTGCCGCAATCTCTGCGAACCGAGGTACAAATTTCCGTTGAAAATTGGCCGCACCCAGAAAAGAGTACAATTCATTCACGTTGTTAGGCGGCTTTGCGACTTTCAAGGCATTCACTCGATCAGGCGAGGGTGCGATTCCCTGCGCGGTTACCTGATGACCGAGGTACGTTAGCTTATCCGCCATGTAGCTGAACTTCTTAGGATTGAGCTTGAATCCTTTCTCATTTAGGCAAGATAGCACTTGATCCACATTTTTCTCATGGATCTCCTCATCACGACCAGTACACAACACATCGTCGATGTAGCCCCCGCATCCTGGCAAATCGCTAAGGATTTCTTCCATTACCCGTTGGAAAATAGATACGGCGCTGTGAAAACCAAAAGGGAGTCGTTTGTACTGATACAACCCCTGCATGGTATTGATCGTGGTGTACTTCCGACATTCAGGTGCTATCTCTAGCTGGTGGTAGGCTTGCGACAAATCCAGCTTCGTGAATTTAGACCCCGGGCCCAATTTGTGCAATAGCTCCTCAAGAGTGGGTAGCGGGTATTGCTCGCATTTAGAATGCAGATTGATAGTGCCACTGTAGTCACCACAGATTCTCAACCCACCTCCTGATTTCTCTACCGTGACAGTGGGGGAGGCCCATTCTGAATGCTTGACTTTCTCGATTATACCATCTGCTTCCAATTTATTCAGAGCCTCAACATAGCTCTCCCGAATTGACAGTGGTACCGGCCTTGCCTTTCGGTAAACAGGGCTCTCATCAGACACATGCAATTTCACCTGCACGCCTTTCACCTTTCCCACTTCTGAGGTGTCGAACAACCCTGGGTATTTCTCATTGAATTTAGCGCCAGACTTTTCGACCTGGTGCACTTCGAAAATTGATTTCCAGGGGAGTTTGAACAAAGCCATTGCATCTCTGCCCAGAATAGATGGACGGTTTCCATTTGTAACCCTCACCAATAGTGTGTGCAATTGTGTGCCCATTCGAACTCCATTTCCGCTTCCCCCAGACAATTAATCACATCTCCAGAGTAGGACACAAGGTTGATACTGGATTCCATCAGGTTACTCAGCACACCATTGCATTGCAAGAAATCTGCCCTGCTGAGAATCGTGACAGCACTTCCCGTATCAATCTCCATTTGGATAGTGGTACCCATTACATCTAATGACACAGTGTACGGTAGTCGCCCCATTGCATTTACACTATACATGGTGACATCGGGTTTACTAGCACATGGAACGAACTCACCAATTTCTTCCGCGATGTGATGGACGGTTTGTCCAGACTTCTTCTTGCGGCAAGCTCTCTCGATGTGACCCACTGTACCACACGCGTGACACGCGTGACACTTCACACTGGCGCGAACGAACGGCGTGGACGGACTGCGCCGTCAATTGTTCCGACTCTCTCGATGCAGTTTCGTAGGCTGATGCCATCGTCACAATGTCCGCCAAACTTGAGGTCTCCTTTGCTTTTGACAATATCTCCTTCGTAACACTCATCGACTTCAACCCACTGACAAACTGGTCTCGGAGTGCCCTGTCTGTTAGATATTGCATGCGTCTTCACTCTGTACATTGTCTCTGATTTTGACAGCTGCACTTTCGATGCATTTCTAGTATTTATTGCTACTGTGTGTTACCGTTGGACAACACTACGATTTATTGTTACATGTACGTTTTATGTCAAGTCGACCCTGTTCCCATTCGTTTTCTAGTTCTATACTTACTGCCATGACTTGTCCCGTTTATGGTTATACAGTCTTCTTCTTTTCCCGTCGTATTGCTTTCGTTTACCGGAGACTTCTACGGTATGTCTCTATTCGCCTCCACGATGTCCTTATCCTGACACTAGCATTTTCTGCGTCGCGTACGGCTGGTGGGAATATCTACCCCAGCCGTCGTGATGTAGGCGCTTCCTCATCATTACTACTTGGAGGACAGTCACGAGTTTGAGTATCTCTGATACTAATGATAATGATTCTTACTGAAGTATGAGGAGAATTGTTTCCGAGTGGAAAGACACTGAGTGTCTATGTGTAATAACTAAATGAGCTCAACGAAGAGCCAAAACGTCCTTTAGGATTCTACTACTACTAGTATGGGCAGAACCAGAGTAGGATCTCTAAAATTGGTCCTTCGAGCCGGATTCAATGGATGCGAGGTCGAGAAAGGCTGACCAGAGTGTCGCCTTCGCCAAAGCAAGAATCGCGGTTCTGAACGATATCGAAAATGGATCACCTGTAAGTGCTGTCAAACTGTCACTCGTGGAGCTGGACCTAAAAGTACATTGCTTGCTTAGTACATTGCGGGAGGATCCAGAGTTGTTCGAGGAGTATGTAGCAACACAAGAAATGTATGCAAACACAGTGGCTATGGTTAGTGAGTACATGTACGGAATTTGTTCAAACTACAACAGTTCACGTGCGAGCTCTATAAGCGGTGTACAGTACACCCGGAATGCCGATAAGGTGAAAGCATACTTAGCTAGTGTCAGGATAAGGACATCGTGGAGGCGAATAGAGACATACCGTAGAAGTCTCCGGTAAACGAAAGCAATACGACGGGAAAAGAAGAAGACTGTATAACCATAAACGGGACAAGTCATGGCAGTAAGTATAGAACTAGAAAACGAATGGGAACAGGGTCGACTTGACATAAAACGTACATGTAACAATAAATCGTAGTGTTGTCCAACGGTAACACACAGTAGCAATAAATACTAGAAATGCATCGAAAGTGCAGCTGTCAAAATCAGAGACAATGTACAGAGTGAAGACGCATGCAATATCTAACACTCCCTCCGTTGAGGTACAATATCTAACACTGTCCAAATACGCCTGAAACTTACAGTCCATGGCTGCTTGCTTAAGTCTAGCTGCATACTGTGTTGCTGACTCTCCATCCTTTTGACAAATCCTCTGGAATCTATGAGTCGCCGCCAACACACTGACATTAGGCTTGAAGTGCTCTGAAAGCAATTCTCCGAGTTCCTCAAACGTTTTCTGCGTTGGTTTGTCCGGCAGGCAAAGACTCTTCAGAATCGAGTAGTTCTCAGCAGAGAGTTGACTGATCAGGACAGCTGCCTTTTGCGTGTCCGCCGCTCTCTCCTGGTCCGCGGTTGCCCCAGCTGCGACTTGTCCAATACTGTTGGCGATAAAATAAAACGTGAGTCTCTCTACATACTCACGAAAATCACCTTTTTCAAATATTTCAAGCTTCGATCGCGACATCTTCGTCTTTTATCTTCGTCGCCAACTTGTTATGTCCCCTTGCGGACTAACATTCCATTACACTCATGCATTCTCACTGACACACACAAACACTAGCAATTCGGAAGACATTCCTCTTGGTCAGGTAAAGTAACAACAACAACCATATGCGAGCATGCGCAATACAGTAACAAACGGTGTAGTAGATATATAATGACTAACTTGCATACACAACACAAGGTAACCAAGGAGACGTTCAAAATCAAATCTGGAAAGGGTATTGTGGTTCTCTGAAGACGTTTCATCAGTGCGCGGGATGAAACCAGAAATTGGAGAACGAGAAAAGATCAGCACAGTTCAAATCTGATGAGTCAGGTACACTGACAGTGGCAGTCTCTTTCGTTCGACGCCACAAGGATCCCCTGTGCGACTGGCCATGGCTGCCAGTTCTGCTGTGCAGTTGCTGACAGTAAGACGTTTCATCAGTGCATGGGATGAAAGCAGAAAGCGGAGAACGAGAAACGTTCAGCACAGTTCCAATCTGACTAGTCAGATACATTGACAATCTCCTTCGTTCGACGCCACAAGGATACCCTGCTTGACTGGACAAGAGCTGCCTGTACCACCGTGTAAAAAGGCTGTCCAACTACATTGCAGGATGATGACAGGTAAGGAAGCTTTTACTCATTTCCATTGGTCTGCTGTTCTGTAGTTATGCTTGATTTTTTTCCTTTTTCAAGGAACTTATCGCATTTGTTTGATGTTGCTTGAAAGAATGCCCTAAAAGTAATCAACGACTTCGTAATAGTTGCGTGACAATAATATTAGTCCTCAAGGACTGCAAGGACTTTGCATCAATGGTCTTGCTATCATCAATTTTATTTCATGAGAAATGTATTTTTGTGAACACCATGACTCTTCCCAAGCTTCCCAAGCTAATACTTGTATTCCATGAAGTAGCCATTTTGATGTCACAAACATGACCTGTTGTCAGTGACTTCGCCTCGGTACAACAAATCATTGCATTTCCATCTTGGGGAAGACTGTTTGACTGACGGCAATGCTGTACAGATTGTTTAAATCATCTCATTTCAATTTAGATGCAGTGAAGTGAAACACTGCGGAGTACACTACATGTATGTTGGTGTGTCTGTGCGTCTTGAGTGTGCACAAACGATCTTATTCCCCGTATTACTAATAGATTATTGTCCCCACCGTCATCTGTTCACAGGTCTTTGAGTGAATGGATTTTCATTGAACATCACATTCTTTGAGAACTTGGTAGTTGTGTGCTCCCATGCATCATTAGTAAGCGTATCCTTGTGCTAATTATTTTTTTGCAGGTGTGCTGATCTTCAGATGGTTGCGGAACTGAGTGCTGCTGGACATTTGCATGGCCATGAGCAATGATGAAGCTTTCTATTGCACTCTCAGCATGTGCTAGTATTATGCTGACTACTGCACTATGTTACTCTCTTAGTCCTACTGTACACTAGTACATGTATGTAAACGTGCGTGCACCCGTCCTTGTATGCATTCGTTTCGTATCATTATTTGTTATCCCTCTTGACTTTACGTGTAAATGGGTGGACGTTTGCATGACTGTTGGAGTTGCGAGGGTATTGTGTCTCTACTCTTTTCTTGGTGTTTTCTTGGCGTCGTATACATTTGTGTGTGTGTATGTGTGTGTGTGTGTGTGTGTGTGTGTGTGTGTGTGTGTGTGTGTGTGTGTGTCTGTCTGTCTGTCTGTCTGTCTGCGTGCTCGCACGCGCTCAATAATTTGAAAACAATTAATTAATCCTTGGCTCTCCGTCATAGCCTTTCGGTTCTTGTTTTTTTTCTTTCTTAGTATTTTCTTGGCGTTCAAATAATGGACTCTATAGGGGTTGGACATCATATCGGAGCTGGACGCTCCACTGAGTCCAACATATACTATGAGATCATCTTTATTGCTGGCAATTGGGAAGTCAGTCATAAAGTTGGATCATGTTTTGCAACAAGAGCAGATATGCAATTTCCACCATGTCGTCACACCATTCAATTGAATGATTCAAATATAGCAATTATATGTTTCCTCATGGCTTGTACAAATTTGAAAAGGATGTACAATATTCTCTCCTATCAAATCTCTGGTATAAAAATTGAAATAGCAGTTTCAATGTTTGTGTGCCTTAAAGAGATGATGAAGTGGCTGCTGTGGAGCCTCAGGATGTGGGAGAAAGTATAGACAAACAGCTAAATGGTCTTCAGGAACACAGCGGCAGAAGAAGAATCCATATGTACATATGACACGTGGAATCAATTTTAATCACAACATGGATGCTATTCAACACACCCTTTACATTTAAAACAACTTTTGTGTTTGTTCTGCCCATTATCGAAAAGCTCAAGGCATGTTGTATGAATGTAATCTACCTCCAGAACTCTACATGTACTTCAAAAATATATTTAGTTCACGACAGCATCAACATCACACCACTTAAGGTTAAGAAGCTGCGAACAGTTTGGCTATTTGCTGAAATTCTCTCAAACACTACACTACACTGAGCTATTTGGCCACATTCATATTCACCATTCACAAAGGCATTGTGAGTGTGGATTGCGGTAGTGTTTCAAACGATTCACCTTTCATCCACTGCTTATACATGTACATGTGACTTTATCTTTCGAGTGTAGGTGAGTTGTGTGCAAACAATTATATCCTTTCCGTCAAACCAATGAATTCATAATGGCCTGGGGCTCCCCGCGGGCTAGTTTGTACGTGAAGTGTGTGGATTACAGTGAGGGTTTGGTCCCACCCGCTTGTGTGGATTCACAGGAAGCGTGGGTTTGTTGTTGTAGAAGTTTATTTAACGTCGCACCACAAACAGCTTCGAAGTCTGAAGAGAATGTTGACCAGTCTCCGCCTGGACGATGGCTGCACCATAGCTCAGTGGTTAGAGCATCGCTGGCCTCAAGCGATGGTCCCTGGTTCGAGTCCGTCAATTTTTTCTTCAGAATTTTCCCGTTTTCATCTTCTGCTCAAACTTATGGATATGTTACAAATCCCATTAGTTCTACTCATGATTGTGACATTTCCAACTGGCAGGACATTTCTTCAGTTTCTATTGGGTTTTTCCTTGACTCTAGTTCTGTCTTCTAAATGTCTGTTTTACTTCAGGTGAAACTGGGCTTTGCTAATCCAATGGAATAATTTGTACGAATTTTCCAGCCAGAGTATGCATGTATACCTGAGTTGTAGCAGGATGGTGTGTGTGTCTGCATGGAGTTCACCTGCAGAAGGTGTGCTAGTGTCTTGCCACAATGTCAGCAACTGTTACACAACTCATTATCATTTCCCCCTCCCCCCCCCCCCCCATTGTTGTCACTCCCCCAACGTTGATGAAATCAAGTTTGCTTCTTTTTTTCCATTTCCCTTACATTTTCTCATTTTCTTTTCATTTGCCGGTGTGCATTTGTGTCTGCAACTCGTCTGTGATCAAATCGCTGACACGAAAGTGAAGATGCACAACTTCGCTAGTGCTGAAGATTTGGGTTTGAGTACTAAAAGGATGCAAGGAGTCCTAATGTTATCAATACATTTTGGCTTTTCTGTATTCCCTCTAGTCCCTCTCATCTGAGTTTTATGCCCCCCCCCCCCTCTCCCCCGCCGCAGCCACCCGCAATGAGTCATGTAAAAGGAAATGGATTGGATAAATTCTAAAAAATATGCTTTTTTGCTCACTTCTGCATTGAATTGAAATTGATTGAAAATGTTTGAAGTACTTGGTATATTTGTGATGTGAACGTTTACAATCAAATCCAAGTGCGCACGATGGTGTGGGTGCATGCGGTGGTATGGTTGGTTGCGATGTCGCGGAGTGCAAACTAATGTCATGTGTGATTGCAAGTCCTATTTGCTGAAATAGGAGAAAAGCACATGCATGGTGATATGGAGGCCGCTCTTGGATAGCTGAGTGGAAAGGACGGCCATTGGGCTGGCTTGTGCCTCCACAGATGATGGCCAGCCCTTTCTTATATTGCATGCTGCTGATACTGAGTCCCATGGTAGGGATCAAGACTGGAGCTGGATCCGGTGGTCCGCTCGCAATGGCTGTTGTGCTTGTTGTGTACTTGATGGAATGAGCTCACATTTCAAACAGGCCTAAGCCTAATGACAGTGGACTCAGTGGGGAATGCGTTCAGGTTAAGCCGTTAGAACATTAACGCTACCGTTCAATTCGTTTTGTTTGTCTGGTCACTTCTACTACCCTCTCTTCTTGATAGTGTAGTAGGGCCATTTTCTAAGTTACAAAAGGGTAGAGTTTGGTGCGTTTTACCATGATGTCTGCTACGTATGACCAGAAGCAATTCATTTCTTGTTGGCTGAGGATTTTACGAAATTAACAAGTCTTGGACAAAAAGGAGAAGGACGACATGTCATCGTTCAGAAGAAGTAACTAAAACAATCATGATGAAAACATCAAGGAGGAGCAATATTCCTAACACATTGTGAAGAAAAATAAGTATTTTTGGTTTTTTTACGAGAAACCACGAACCTCGAGAACAGAATACTGCATGATAGAGGTGGTTGCAGACGCAACTGTGGTGGTGAAACTGGAGCATCTCCGCAGACCTGAAGTCTCGGCTTCAGCGACACTTCAATGCACCAAGAACTGGGGAGGAGTAGGCACAGGGGGAGGGGAGGGGGGAGTACATTTATATAGAGGAAGGAAAACGGAAAGGTGATACATGTGATAGAGTAAAAAATAAATAAAAAGGGGGGAACCAGGGTGCAAGCGGAGAGGGTGTTCAGGGAGTGTTCAGAGGGCATCTGTGGCTGAGTGCCAGTCTCGGCTGCGGAGAGACTTGTAGGCGCCTTCATTGAATGCCTGCATTCCCTTCTGCGTGGGAAGGTTGCGTAGCAGGGCAGATGGGAGACGATTCCAGTCTTGGATCGTGGCATGGGGGAATGATCGGATCGGAGAGTATGGCTTATCCGAAGAAGAATTGGGCACTGATTCCGATGAGCTACGTCTTGAGCCGATCAGAGAAGAGGAACCGTGTCAACTTTCATAAATAACACCTTCCATATTTGGATATTGGGCTTGATGACGTGTGTACTGCTTAGCTGTCACCATGCTGTGCATGCTCAGCAGTGTAATTGAATGGAAGAAAACAATTACTTTGGTGTTTTGCAGCTCTATTTCGTTCCCTGACGGTAACCAAATCTAGATGTAGGAATCTGTTGAGCAGGATAGTGACACATGTCTTCCCGAAGGCTGTCCAGGCTGCAGTGGTGATGAAGAAAACACGATCGTCACCCCGAGATCGATTCGGTAGCGAATTGGAAAACTCATGTTGAATTATTTGCTTCCACTCCAAGGCAATGTCGAGGTATGAAGGGTGCTTGTGCTGCCTTCCAAAGTGAAGCGGAGATGAACATGGCCTTTCCATAGCTGTTGTTCTACGCCAACATACCTACTCTTGCTGGTACCGTAGTGGCATATTGCAAATTTCGTAGACGAACAACTCTAGTCACTAGTGGATAATGAGCAACACTAACAGGTGAGATTTTTAAATTTGACAAAATTTGTTTTGTTTGAGAACTGACAGGGACAGACAATAGACTCAGTAGGTGTCTCTGCTGCTTCTTTCCCCTCGTTGGTATGGTTGTTCTTGATCGTGCACGTGCTTGAAGTAAAATACAACGAGAGAGCTTGGAAGCTCAGGGCCCTACGCTATGCTTTTTTTGCCTTGATGACCTTATTATTATTATTATTTTGCTTGTTCGCGTTGGCATCAACCTGCATAAAGCAGGTATATAGCCTTCGCTTAAGCTGCCATAAAAAAGAAAGCTCATTCTAAGCGAGAGGGCTAGAGGAAAAGATAACGATAACGAGATACAGAATACAAAGAAATACAATGAGTTAAACATACGTATACAGTTCAAAACAAAACAGAGCAGAGCCAAAGTTACTAATCGGAGTGACAAATGCGTTGGTTCCGATTGATCCATCAATCGACAAAGGGACTAATCCGTTAATATTGCAAAGTAGAAACCGATTGCAGTTGCAGATCTCCAGGCCAGGGCCAGCATATTGCCGATTCTGGATAGGTCTCTGCAGCATTTGATGTGGTAATTATTATCATAATTAGTGATAAAATTGTTAGAGTATCTAGAGTATCTAGTATCTAGAGTATCTAGTATCTAGAGTACCTAGTGTAATTGTATCCGATGTTATTGTTAGAGTATCTAGTGTAATTGTCTAACTTCAGCCACTACACACAGCACACATTAGTTCCTTCCACTTTCGACGATCCTGGGCAAGCTGCCTCAGTGCAACTAGATCCTCGTGTGATGTGAGGGAGTTTGTGGATCTGGAATTTTTCAGGCCGTTGTTGATAGATCGCGGGGTTGATGACCTAGACAAAAAAAAGCATAGGGATGCTATAAATTCTTTAAAAAATTCCTTTTCTTTTAAGACATAACCTGGGATTCGAACCCGCACTATGGCGCCCTGCATGCATCCCCCGGTCTTTAAAAAATTCCTTTTTTTAAGACATAACCTGGGATTCGAACCCGCACTATCGCGCCCTACATGCATTTCCCCATACACTTCGCATTCATACCCATTCTTCCAAGTTGCTTCACGTTATGATCTTGCATTTGAAAGCCCTATTTGAACATGCATTGTGGCCAGCCGTCTTTGATGGTACGGTACGGGAGACGGTGTCGTATTACCCTCGATCGTACCTGTCCCGTGCCTATTCAAATAGGGCTTTCAAACCAGGGAGTAGTACAATATATAGTACTACTCCCTGTTTCAAACGCAAGATCATAACGTGAAGCAACTTGGAAGAATGGGTATGAATGCGAAGTGTATGGGGCCGGGGGAATGCATGTAGGGCGATAGTGCGGGTTCGAATCCCAGGATATGCCTGAAAAATAGGAGAATTGAAAAATTTATAACATCCCTATGATTTTTTGCCGTCAGATACGGGAGTGCGCCAGGCGTGACACAAAAAAACAAACAAACAAACACGCAAACAAATACCAAACGAGAGAGCTTGGAAGTTTAGGGCCCTGCGCTATGCTTTGTTGCCTAGCTCATCGTGCATGTTGTTAGAACTGATGGAAATGTGTTTTCCTTTGATTAGCTACATGATTGTATCGCAAAAACGTTTCAATTAGATACTGAAGTAACGTCTTCTGCATAGCTATGGGACCGGCGCTGACTCTGCCGATCACGGGCGTTCTGGAGTCGACGGGATGTCTGTAGTGACGTTTCCTGGGACTGGCGCTGACTCTGCCGATCACGGGCGTTCTTCTTCTTCTTATTATTATACTGACGGCAACTAACATCCATTCTGATTGCATTTACTCGTCTTCCTACTTCGTATTTCTTTCCAGAAAATCTCCCCATATAGCAGGGAGTCGTTTACATAATATGACTTCCTGCTATACATCTACATGGCTGTATATACGTTATAATTATTATGCTATCGGCCTACACGCGATTCCCGGGCTGGTCGACAGGCGGCCCTGCCAGCCTGCAAGTTGTCGGTCACTGATACAACGAAATTCGAAAGAAAAAGAAAAAAAGGCCCAACCCTGCCTGGCCAGCTATTTGGACTTACGGGGGTCACCATGGCAAATAATAAGTAGTAAAAATGAGCTAGTGTGGCTGTGAAAACAGTCTATATGACAATATTCAGTCAGCCATAATGGATGCCTCCGCGGCGACCACAGCTGCAGATGACGCGACAGGAGCATGGGCAGAAAACATGGATCGGCTGCCACGCACACACATTACACTGGCCCGTATTAGCGCTACGCTAAGACGACACCGGATGAACGCCATGGTGAGGGAGTAGGACTCACCGGTCTTCTCTGCAAGCAACACAGCAATTCTCTTGTACATAGCTGACGCACACTTGCTCATGCCGCCAGTCGTAGAGAACACGGCCGGGACAAACGAGGCATGCTCTACATCACGCAAGCGCTGTTCGTACGAACGCTTCTTTGCCTTCTCATGGCGGGTGTAGGCTGCGGAGACGGAGGAGGAACGAGCCAGCCTGCTAGTGGGATCTCGGCCTCGCACCCAAATCCACACAAAATGTTACTGCACTGAATGCATTCCCCCGATACACTTCGCATATATACTCATTCTCTTGATGGTACCGTACTCTTGATGGTACGGGACAGGTACGGGATAGCGCCAGGCATGTCGATGGCACAAGTACAAGCAAACAAAAATATTGTGGCCAGCTGTCTTTGCTGGTACGGTACAGTACTTGACAGATACGGGATAGCGCCAGGCGTGACACAAACAAACAAACAAACAAACAAACACCAAACGAGAGAGCTTGGAAGCTCAGGGCCCTACGCTATGCTTTGTTACTTAGCTAATCGTGCATGTTGCGGGAACTGATGGAAATGTTTCCTGGAACGGCGCTGACTCTGATCTCTCTGCCGACGTTTCCTGTGACCGGCGCTGACTCGCCCGTTCACGCCTATTTTGGAGACGACGGGATGTCTCTTCCAAAGTATGTTTTTACTGACGCATCCTATCACCTATTCGGCAACTACCATCCATTCTAATTTCATTTCCTCCTCGTCTCCCTATTTCTTTCCAGAAAGTCTCTCTAT